TCAGACTCCGTACTTTTCAGGGTGTTCCATTCATTCATGTTGACAGAAAATGCAAAATCAATAATGAAAACTTTTCTGTCTTTTGTGCAAAGAATATTATCTTCTCTTATATCTCCATGAATGATCCCATGTTTATGAATTACTTCTAATTGCTCCCTCGCCTTTTCGTACAATTCAATATCGTTCAGCAACGCTATAGTTTCGACATAGCGAAACAAGTTGAAGTATCCCTTCGTGAGATAATATCGATCAACAGTTACTTTCGCATACCCTCTTTTATGACGAATGTAGCAGCTGTTGAATTTTGGATCTGTTGACAAAGTTTGGTAAATCCATCTTTCGTTATTATAAGCCTTAAGACACAATTTTAACAATGTCTTCTTACTGTACTTGTAATTACTATCTCCATCTTTGGCCATTCGAGGATCATAGAACTTTGCAACGAGTTTCTCTGAATCTCCTACATGGTCAAGCAAATACTTCTTCATGCAGCGAGCATCAACTTTAACAAGTTGTGAATTGTAAATATCACCATTCTGCATAAGTACATTATCATCTGCGGTGAATTCGAGGATGTGCTCTTCTGGCAACTCTTCATTTTCTTCATTAATAGATGCCAACGTCGTAGATGATTGTGTATCAGCTGTTGCAGCAGTGCCAGATGTTCCTGCGGTGCTCGGTCTGCTACCGAATGAACCCTCTGATCTCTCGGAGTTATACTCCGAGCTATCGAGTTGCTCTTCGTTCTGCTCCGGAGTGGCCCATAAATATTCTCTTAACTTCAACATTCTTTTCCGCCGAATATCATCTTTTTCTTCATCAAGAATAGCCGTGTAAAAAAAATGCATTAGACCCTCTCGCAAAGTAGGAGCCGCTGAATGACAGTCTAATATTTTATATTTAAGAGGGACAGTCTTCTCTTTCAGAAAATCCAGCTTACTTTTGAATGTATTTACGTTTCTCTCGAAACAATCTAGGTCAATCTCAACAAAAATAACAATATACGAATCTGAAACAATACCTACGTTCGTTTTAAAATACACCATCTGGGTGATCAATTGTTTCATAAATTTGTGGATATTACCTTTATTAAAAGTATCGACCCCAATCGTTGAAGTATTTTGTCCCACGTAAGTCGGTAGTATTGGGAACATTTTCATTTCAATTATACAAAATACTTGCCTGTTTCTGATAAGATGTAAATCAGACAGTACCCGAAATGTGACATCATTTGGAAACGTTTTACTTTTGAAACCGTGTTTGACCTTTACACCCAAGCGAAGTGCTTTCTGCAAAAACGAGCAAATAGGTTGAACTAAATGTTCTTTAAAATTCAGTGTGTAATCATTCTCCAATTCATCTTCTTTCTGAACCAATTCAAAATCATTGAAAGCAAACCCGGCGACACCGTTAATTATATTCTTCCTATTAGTTGATTCTAATATATTGTGTATTGTACTAGCAATCTCTCTATCTTCAATTATGGTTGTGTACTTTTGATCATATTTAAATGGCGAAAGACTCTTGGAGAACCTATTCTCAGATCCGGTACTTTTACTAGTTGTATTGTTATTACTAACAATTTCATATTCACACACGGGGAGTGCTAATAAGAAACGTAAGAGCTTTTTACTTACTT